AGTATTTCGCTCTGCAGACCCCAGAGTCCACCTATCCTCTACAGGACTAAACTATTATCAATTTGCAATTTTCATTGATTAGCATATAAATAAAAAAAAATATTGAATCAGACTCAGAGACTCGCTGTCTAAAAAGTCCACTGCTAATGCTATTCTTTTCAAAGAAAATGGCACAATTTGATTTTATGACATGTTGAAAAAAAGAGTTTTAAAAATATCCCGAAAACAACATAAAATGATTATATAGATCTCTCTCTCTCTCTCTCTCTCTCTCTCTCTCTCTCTCTCTCTATATATATATATATATATATATATATATATATATATATATATATATATATATATATATATGTGTGTGTGTGTGTGTGTGTGTGTGTATTTTATTATGTATACTAAAAGACTGAGCAGAGGCTTACAATGTAAATTCTGTGCTCTACAAGTAGAGAAAATATTAAGTTTGCGCAAAACAGATTTTAGAAAAAAAGTTGGATCTAATTATTCTAATACAAGTAAAAGTGATTGTTATGCTGAGATTTGTTATTATTGACTCTGGAAATACAGTTACTTGCTGAATCTAAAAGTAACTAGAACTGTGCAATTCGTTTTATTTCAATCCCAAAGCCCAAAGGCATAGCAATAATAAGTTAGATCTAGATCTAGCAGTTGTAGGCTCTCTGGCTGCTTCTAGCATAGGCCTGCTACTACTGATTCTAGACAGGGAATCTAGATCTTGCTATCGCCTGCACTATTAAAGTCAAATATATGGTAAAATAAAAACAAAACTGAATTTTTTTCAGTCAGTACATCACAATTGCCATAGCCGCACGTATTAATAGTTGAATAATGCGATACCGCAGCAACACGTTATCACAGTGTGCAGGGGAGAGCAAGGTGCCCGGTCGATTCGGTGGTTCGGCTTTTGTAGATCTATGCATTTTTTACGGAAAGCCCTATTACCTAACCCTCTTACTAGATCTATTAGTGTTGTGAAAACTTCAACCTCTACATCTCAGGCGTCAAAAGATGCTGGAAAATAATAATACGTCCTGAAGTTTCATAATTTATTTTTAAACAGAATAACACAGTACACAGCCAGTAGTTTTTATTTCATCGAGTTATAAAAATGGCCTTCGTATAAAAATTGCCTTGTTTTCAGAAGCAAATATTAATAGTTCTAGTTCTACCAAATCGATTTTCACGCGAATTCAACCATTTTGATGATCTTTCTTTTCCTTTTAAAAAGATGTAGATCTAGGCCTGTCGGATGTGGCAGTGCGAATAACACTGAGTTGTTTAGATCTAGACCCATCAAAACACGAGGCTTCGTGGCCGATCACAAAAGTCTACGAGGCTTATCGATGCCGATTCGCCCTGCCGGGAGAACGTTCACTAAACTGCCTACTAGATAGAATCTACAACCAAATATTCTCTACACGATCTTTGCTACTACTACTACTAGGCCTACTAGCCTACACATGTACTACTACGAGACAGTACGAGAGAGTGTCACTCAGGCAAAGATAGTGTAACTTTGACTCAGCCACGTAGTGTACACTCTTTTTATACCCCAAATTTAACCCGGAAGTCCATTCGGAGGATTTGACCTTTTCACTTGACCAAAGTATGCCAAAATGGTAGCCTAGCTTTTGCCCCTCCATGAAGGAAAAATCTGGCCCTCATTCAAACCATTGGGATTGAGCAAAATTTTGCGTATTGCGCTTTGTTCTTTACAATATTCATTATGGTTATGATTTATAAGTTGTACACTGAGACAAAACCGTACTAAATGAGAAAGGTGCACCATTATTATGAAAGTGGAACGAACTCAGTTGCCTGAAAAGGGTAGTTTGAGCATGTGTGGCCTAAATAAGCTAAACCCCCCTCCCTTACCTTATTTAGGCCACAGTCAACTGTGGCCTAAATAAGCTAAACCCCCCTCCCTTACCTTATTTAGGCCATATGTGGCCTAAATAAGCACTCCCTTTTTAAAAAGCGTAAAGAACAATACGCACTGTTAGGCAAAAACTGATTATAGTATTTTGGATGTATTAAGTATTGAACTACCTTCAATTTGCATGATCTGTCACGATTGGGCATGTAATGCAACTTTAGTTAGGTTCAGACATTGGATGCCGGAAAATGTTGGCGGCAGTGAGTGCAAAGATATTATTGATGTTCTACTCTATGTTGAGTCATTTTCCTGTTTTCTTTTTTTGGGGGGGTAAGTGTTATACTACGTTCGCAACTGCATAAGGTCATATAAGCGCACGGGACACATTAAGAATTTTCAGTTGGTAGGAAATTGTGAATTTTGCCCGGATATCGATTTTAGACTACCAAAGGATCTTTAACGTTCGCAACTTGCACACGGGCCTCCGGGATTTTTCGCCCTTGCCCGAGAAGGCTAGGTGTAAGATCAGGGGTGTGGCTGAAAGACAGCAGTAAGAAGGAGCCAAGGAGTAGCAGTAGAAAGGCTGCAAAAAGAGTCAGGAGCCCAGAGGAGGGGCAAAGGGGGTGAGGAGTGGGGGG